GCGCTTCTCAGTGCCATCTTCGTGAGTGCCGCCATCCTCAACACCTCGCTACTGATTGTCCTCTGGAGACAGCGCAAGCAGATGTCCAGGATGCGCGTTTTCGTGTTTAACTTGTGCCTGGCAGACCTGGTGGTCGCTTTTTTCCAGGTGTGTCCGCAGCTCCTCTGGGATATCACGGACAGATTCGTCGGCCCGGACCTAGTATGCCGTATAGTGAAATACCTGCAAGTTCTCGGGATGTTCTCTTCAACTTATATGATTGTGGTGATGACAGTCGACAGATACCAGGCTGTGTGTAATCCAATGGTGAAGTTTCAGAGGACGCGCACTAGACTGAACATCCCCGTGTGCGTCGCCTGGGGCATTTCTCTGCTGGGCAGCCTGCCCCAAGTTTTCATTTTCTCCCAAGTAGAAGTAACACCCGGTGTGTTTGATTGCTGGGCCGAATTCATCCAGCCATGGGGGCTGCAAACTTACATAACGTGGACCACTCTGGTCATTTTCATTTTGCCTGTCAGCACGGTTGTTGTTTGCCAAGTGCGCATCTGCCGAGCCATCCAGATCAACCTTCACCAAAAGACTCACAAGCAGGGGAGCGTTGGCGTCCCGTTGCCCTCCAGAGCCAGTGGAGTGGCCGGTATGTCTAAGGCCAGGGTGAAGACGCTGAAGATGACGGTGGTCATTGTGGTGGCTTACATTGTCTGCTGGGCTCCATTCTTCATCGTCCAACTGTGGTCTGCCTGGGACAAACATGCGCCAAAAGAGAGTGAGTTAATGTGTAGATGTGAGTTATACTTTTTTTTTTTTGCCAGTTTTGGCAATGATGAGTAATTCTATGCTTCCCTGGGCAGAAATCGAACGAGCCTTTAGTGCCACCAGTGCCTTTACGCACTAATGTCAATTAATGTTTCTATTTGGCAAAATATCATTTCAGGTAAACACATGACCATTTGCACATCTCCTTTTTTTCCAGCTGCAACTTTCACCATCCTGATGTTGCTTGCCAGCCTGAACAGCTGCGCAAACCCCTGCATCTACCTTCTGTTCAGTGCTGAGTTTCCAAAGAGGCTTGTTGCACTCCTGTGTAGGCGGCATTCTGAAGGTAAAGATTCAATACACGAAGACGCAACTCTCGTCAGCACTTTGTATATGAGCTTCAAAAATGTCTCCGAGTCCAAGTGAGGGAATTGACATCTTACTGGAAAGAAGAAAAATCGACGGCGAGAAGCGGTGATGCCTTCGCACCGAGATTCGAGTTTGGCAGCGAAACGAAGAATATGTTAGACTAAATTTGTCTGGATTTCTGATCTGTTCATTTATCACTTGTCATCGACAATTTCAGTCATGACAAACATGCCAAGAATGGGTGGACACGAGTAAGAGCTGCAATACAGATTATATTGGAAGTTGAGAGTAGAGGGGAGTCGATTAAGTTATTTTGTGCTGCACACTTTGAGAAAGAACCAGTATTAGAAGTGTTGGACTCAAATAAGACACATTTTCGCTGAAATTGTTTCAGATATTATTTAAACGTCACAAGTTGGACTGGAGTAGCATGCTGGTCCTTGAAAAAATGTGTAAGAGTAAAGAAGTATTTGAGGTAAAAACAAAGTAAACAAAAATCTTCCGAATTATAATGCAACATCATTATTTACAGTCTTTCAAGATGATGTCAAAGGTAGGTGTAGTAAATGTTGCATCTGAGGCTTAATTTACTGTTAAGAGAGATCCTTTTTTTTCCATCGATGCTGCTGAGATGTGAAAGAGGAGGTGCATTAAAAAGGAGGTGCATGTTTCTACCTTTCAAAGGTAATTTGTTTTGTACAGTATTTAAAAAATGTGAGCCAATTCTGTTTATGTTCCCTGTGGTGAATAAATGTTTCATTGAGTCTACAGAACAAGTGTGGAATAAAGTCATAGTGACACATGTTTGATGTATTTTTCTTTTGTTTTCATATAATAATTTCCCTCTGGGATTATTAAAGTATTTCTGATTCTGATATATGAAAATGTGCAAATCACACACAAAAATAGGGAACATATTGTGGAAATTTGACCTCCTTACTGAAGAAGAATCCCACTGACCACACAAGGAAGGTATCTCCTAATGTATATATTAGCCCTCTTCAAGCATATTGTAAATCACACAGTGTTTGCATTATCCGCAGGTCAAAAGTAATGAGGAATTTTCACATAGACAGAGCAGCATACCAGAGGCTGACAGAATGAAAAATATTGCACTTACTCTCAGTCACCATGGGGAGAATATAACATGTTTATTATATAAAAGTTATACATAACAGAATTATCTTTTAGCAACATAAAACTATCCTGAACAGGTATTTGTTATAACCCCAATAAGTGGCTGTCAGCCGTATTTATGTTTCCATGGTTATTTTTGACAATGGTTATATCAGAAAGATTTAATTGGGCTTTGAAGACACATTCCCCTGCTATTTTAAAATGATATTTACTCTGATCTTGAAATTGTTTGATTCTACTTAATCATTAAATATTTAGAAGAGTTGATCCTTACTTATCGTGAAAGAAAATACTCATTTCAGTAGCGTTTCACAGACAGATGTAAAGCACTTTGTTCTTCTTCTTAAACACTTCTCTATCTATCGATCGAT